GTTTGTCATTAGATTAGCAAATTAGCCTTCAGGTAAAGTGAAGGCCAAATGTGTCAAGCTTTTAACTGTTTCATTAGTTGCTATCTCACTTAAAATCACCTGCTGCCTTCATAGCACAGACACCAATAAAATGGTAGTTGCCCATAAAAATGAACTATGAAGCAACTGTTCCCCTGCCTCCTCCATGAACTGGGAATTCTTAAATCACACCCCTCCCCCAAGCTAATGAATATTAATTTCATTAGATTAAACAGTTCTCCAGTGCTTTGAGAAGGTAAATCTTAGTGTGACATGACAAATTCTCAATATATGTCCTCAAGATCTTTAGCCATTCACATAAATTATAAAACGTATTTCCCAGAAAGCAAAGTGAAGATTAATTAAGCCAGAAACACAAAATTGTTTAAGATAAAGCCAAGGGCCCAGGGGCTCTGAAAGGGGTGGCAAAGAAAAAGTCATGCAAAAGTTAAAGATCTTTCTTCTATACTCTTTCTTGGCTCAGCAAGGCACCTAATGAAACATGATCCTATTAACTTCCTGGCTGATTTCTTGGGCTTTCCATCTAATTCCATTAATACACTAACAGCTACAGGCTTTTAGTAAGCACATGCTTTTTAATGGAAATACCACAGATTACAAAGTGAGGATATGTTCTCCTTCCCACTGCATTATGTGTGTTTATTGATGTTCAGATGATAGCAAGTTTCACGTTAAATGTTGAGATGCTAGTTATCTTTGAGGAATTAGCTTGTGTATATGCACATATACACATATATCAGCCCACTGACAAGAAAAAGGATAAAACATCAACAAATATAGAAGCCATATTTTACAAACTATTAACAAAGAGGACCCTTGCCAACAGATCTTACTTTATTGCGTTAAGAACTTATTTCAAAAGTGGCACACTAACTTCTGCTTCCAGAAAGAGGAAATAGGCTTATTTTTCCCTCCTCCTCCTATTTTCTTTTTACTTCATATCCCAAGCTTGGAAATGAAGTTCCCAACATTTATACACTTACACAAACCAAAACCTCCCCAAAGTCTGCACTCTTCAGCCAAAGGACTAGAAAGGGGCAACCTAGCCAAACAGAAAACCTTTAAACCATAACTGCTTTCTTCATGTCAAACACTGCAGGAAAAAAAATGGCCCCACTCATAGAGCAAAAGCTGAGTGAGGAACCTAGATGCGTACCTTTGCCAGGCTCTGACAAGCCACCCACGTCATTCTGGGGTGCTGTTAGTGGGGTGCTGTTAGTGGAGAATGAGCAGAGAAATGGAATCCCATAGGGCCATAACAAACCTTCCTCCAGCCCCTACTGTCAGTAGAGACCACAATGGCAATCTGGACTGTCATGTAGAACATGTAGAACAGCGATGCGTTCTCACCACCACCTCCTTTAGAGCAGTAAGGGGGAGGTCATTGGCAGTATGGACTTTCACTATTGCAGGGCGGTACCAAGGCCACCCTCAGAGTGTTAGCAGAAACCATGTGGGGAGCTGGAACTCCTAGTCCTGCTCAGCAGATATGAAGAACCCCTTCAATAGAAGCCAACTGGGACACAGAGACTTTCATGCCCAAAGCAGCTCCCTTCTCTCCACTTCCCACACCCAAACATTGGTACTGCACCAATGAAAATCAGCTACAAGTTTTTAACAAGACCCCAAGTCAAAATGAAATTCTAAAAAATAAAATGAAGTAAGTCCAAGTAACAGCTATTCAAGGCAAAGAAATGGAAAAAAAGACTTATGAGCTCTATCACTACCAGATAATTATATCAGGGCAAAGTCAATTATCAAAGATCAAAAATGTCACTTTGCCAAGACAAGCTACCAGCCCTAAATGTATCTATACAAAACAGAACTGCACCACATGTAAAACAGTGATAGAATTAAAAGAAAAAGACAAATAATTATAATTGGAGATTTAACGCCCCTCTCTCAACGATTTATAATACAAACAGAAAAACAGCCAGGACATATAATAACTCAACACTATATGTCAACAGTACTAATGAGCATTTACAGAGTACACCCTCTAAGTCACAGACACATACACACATTTTTTTCAAGTGCCCAATAAATGTGTGTTGGGGTAAACCATACCCTGGGACATAGAATAAATCTCAACAAATTTAAAAGAATTGAAAACATAAAGCAATCTCCCCAACGGAACAGAATCTAATTGGAAATCAACAGAAAAATACAGCTATTTGGAAGGTAAATCTCCAAACACTTGTAGGAAATAGGTGACACACTGCTAAACAATCCATGCATCGAATCAATCATCTCAGGAATATTTAAAAGGTACAGTGAACAGAATGATAATGAAAAGTTGACAGATCAAGTCCATGTGACACAGCTAAAGCAACGCTAAATGCAACATTTATAGCATGTAGTAAATACATTACAAAAAAAGAAGTTTCAAACTGACAGTCTTATTTCTGACCTCAAGAATCTAGAAAATAGAACAAAATAAATTCAAAGCAAACTGTAGCTCAAAAATAAATAGCAGAAATCAAGGAAACTGAGAAGTAGGGGAAAAAAACTCTTTTCTTTTGAAAGGTTAAGAAAATTAACAAGCTTCTAGTAATACGGACAATAAAAAAGTAAAAACACAAGTTGCCAACATCAGGAATGAACACAGAGAACTATCACTATGAATTCTGCATACATCAAAAGGTTATTAATTAAACATTAAGTACAACTCTACACACATAAATTTAATGCATGTAGTTCCAAAGGACCATTTCTTCAAAAACAAACTATCACAATTTATCCAATATAAAATAGATTATAATCCTATAATTAAGGAAACGGAATTCATGATTTTAAAAGAAGAAATCTCCAGGCCCAGAAGTCTTCACTATGTAATATTACTAAACATTTTTTTTAAAAAATTAACACCAATTGTACTAATCTTTTCCAGAAAATAGAAGAGGATGGATGGTCTCCAAATTTATGGAGTATTTGTAATATATGTTGTATAGATTTATATTACCTTTAAGCTAAAAGCACAGAAAAACGATAGACAAATATCCTTCATAAGTATTTTAGCAAAAATCCTTTGAAGTATTAGAAAATAAATTTCATTTTTCAGTCCAGCAAATTTTACATGTGAATAACACCACAGGAAAAGTTAGCAATTGAAACCCAAAATAACATCATTATGAAACCAGTAAATAAGGTAAAAACATGAAAGACTGGACAGCAATGAGAATCAAGCTAATACAAGAAAGTCTTAAGGTAATCATTGTTTTAAAAAAAATGAGACCTATTGAAGAGTCAGAGATATAGTTCTGACAGACAAAATGAGCCAGTTGATACCCTGAAATGAAAAAGAAATGCAAAGTATTCAAAGGTAATATTGTGGAGGATTACTTAGTGAAATTAAATCTGTATACCAGAAAGAACACAGTTTCTGGAAAAAAATAATGCAAAGCAAGTGTGACATAGACAGCAAGTATAGTGAAAGGATTTTTCACACAGGCAGGAAGTCACCTAAAAAAAGAATAAATGTACATGAGAGTGGCAAGGAGTTGGGGAAAGTAAAATGGCCTCCGGTTTCTGTGCAGTAACACATAATATCAAAAACATTACATTACTGTGAGATCCATGAAGTTGTAAAGGAAAGACAGCATGACCTAAAATTTTAATACTCAGCCAAGTTATCCTTTAAGTATGCAACGACAGAGATGGTCTCGACACAAAAATACACACATGCACACAACCCAACCTAAGCCACTTGTGAAGAAGCTGCTTAACAATGATACTCAACTAATCAAAGATCAATTAAATAGATTTCACCTACAGATAAAATTACTGATGAGCATTAAATTAGTTTAAATGCAGAGCTTGTAAGGCAAAACAACTACAGGAATAATTGTTTCAAGATAGAATTTAATGTTAAACCTCCACATTAAAAATGACATTGGAAATAAGATACAAGGAAAAAAAAACAATACTGCTATGTCTGCAGCATGCATTGAAATAATCAGTAATGTATAAAGTTGTGTGGGGGGACCATGTATAAAGTTGTGGGGGGGGACCGGGCGGGGAGAGTTTAAAGTCTGTTTCAATCTCCTAGTCTTGCTTTATTTTGTTTTAACCTAGACCAATTTTTAGAAAATAAAAGACATTGTGATTAAAAAAAAAAAGATAATTGCATATTTCTCATATTTCTCTTTAGGTTTCTTTGTTTTGCTAAGAGCAACTAAAATTAAATCCAAATACTTAAGAAGTAGCTTCTGCTACTTACTTAATATGGTTCTCATATTAAACTGTGCATCAACTCTTACATCTGTGTATGAGCAGAGGATGACAGGGAAGATGGTCACCACTTAATGTCAGTTTCAGTGATTTTTTTCCCCTTTTTTATTCCTTTTTTTCTGCTTAGCTTGAATTCTTTGTAATGTATGTGTCATTTATAAAAGGTCATAATTAGTAAGTCTACTAAGAGATTTACAAATAAACCAAAGTTGGAAGACACACAAGGAAATGTAAAAAAAAAATTAATTACTCTTAAAAGTACAAGTTCTTACTGATCTTGTGAAATAGAACAGAGTCGGCAGGTAATAAAACTGCAACCAAAATACTATGAAAATCATTCTTCCCAAAACACAGGGCCTTTTTTTTTAAATGGCCAATTAAGAAACACAAACTTTTAAAAACTTTCTTGCAACAATTCGAACTAGAAAGGGATTTAAAAACACAGCATGTTTATTTAAACTCTTACTTTTCATAAATCATTAAGTCTTATTACAAGTCAATATCGCCACTCTATTGCTGTATTAGATGCATTCATTAGTGTTACATAAAATTCCATTATAAATTTAAAAAGTCAGCTAAAATCATCATATTCTGTGTGAGAAGATCAAAAGCCCTAGTCCTTACTGTGTATTTTTTTTCTGCTTTGTCAAGGACCTCTAAAGGTCAGACTCATTCTTTTTAAAGAAAGTGGCTCCTCTGAGCTCTACCTGCCTTGGCGTCCAGCCACTGCATTATCGGTTGGTGTTGACCCAGTGGTATCTGTCCACCCTGCGGAACACAGGCCGAGGGCTCCTAGGATTCTTATGCAACACATGGTAAGCATTTCCTAGAAGACCCTTCTGGCCATCCACCATATTCTTTTTGCGGGGGATCTGGAACCAAGATTGAAAGGGCTGTTTCAAATTTTCAACCTGGGGAGGAAAAAGGGAGCATCAAGATCCTGTTTAAACTAAAAGTTAACTTTTAAGACCAAATTCAAAATAAATACCTTAGACATTATTAAGCCTATGCTTCAAGAGCACAGAAAGTACAAATGAATACAAATCAAAATAGCTGATCCTTTTTGGGAAGTTGGCTAGATTTTAGGGGTCATAAAATAAGTCACATTTTCTAACAACATTATTTACTCCCATTAAAATATTTGAAAACACAGTTATCCAAATATGTATATATTTTTGGATTCTTCCCTGCCTCATCCTACCTCACTACCAAACACAAAACTGCCTGTCTTAGGCTAAAGTCTAAAAATATCCACTTCAGACATCCCAGATGACTGAGAACAGATGACTTTCAGGTCACATTTTGAAAGCATTACTCTAGAATATAACTTACAAAAATCTGATCTCTACATGGAAGGCTTTTCTGTAAACCACTTTCACTTAAATGACTGACTTAAGAAAACATACAAACACACATATACCTACAAAGTGTCAGAGAGTCTCCCTAGATCAGTGTGGCCACCAGGAGTGGGCCACCATGAAATCAATTTAGATGTTTAAAATTCACTTAATAGGCCCTCCCTGGTGGCGCAGCGGGTTAAAGCACTGCACTGAGAA